AAAGTGATGCTCCCTGCCTTGAGCTTACTTATGGGAGAGCCAGATACAAATGCACAAAAGATGACAGCTTCCAAGTAGGACGAGCAGGCTGAAGTCCCAGTGGAAGGAGCCTCCCAGGCAGGGTAGGAGGGATAGACTCCAAGTGTGGGCTTCTGAGATAGTCAGGGAGAGGATAGGAGAGGTCATCTGTGTCCATCCTAGGGATGCTCGAGTCCCCCAGCCTGAGGGTGGGAAACACCCAGCCGTTGTCACTCCTTGTGGTTTCCTGGCCCTGTGCCCCAGGTCAGTACCACCAGCCTTATTTTGTATTTCTAATACATCATCTTGCCAGGTGTGGTAGCTCACACCTGTAATTCTAGCACTTTAGAGGCCAAGGTGGGAGGATGGCGTGAAGCCTGGGATTTGAGCTGCAGTGAGCTGTGATCAGGCCCTGTATTCCCAGCCTGGGTGACAGTGTGTGAGATCCTGTCTCAAAAAAAAAAAAAAAATCATCTTGCAGCCCAGCTCCAACTCAGCGGCTGGTAACAAATGTGTACCTTCTGACTCCCTGAGGGGTTCAGCACAGCAATAATAGTGTCTCTCTAGCAAGGAACCCGCCTTTATCTTCCAAAGTCTTTCTCCAGACCTCTGCTTTCAGAAGGCAGGACATGAACGGACTCTGGCTGACCTCTCCAGGACTAAATCTGGACAAGAGACACAGTCCAGCTTCCCAGCGCTGTGTCCCAGGACCTAGAACAGTGCCTGGCCCATACTGATGTCCACAGCAGGCGGTAACAAATGTTTTGTTGATCAAAATACTTGAAGTATCTGAGATGGACAGAGTCACTGCTGAGCTCTTTCCATCAGCTCTTTCCCCAGTCTCTGCCCACCCTGACCAGAGAACACCCTCACAGCTCACCTCGCTCAGCCCGGAATGCAGGGTGGTTGAGCTGGAGCTGCCGGGCCCCCTCCAGCTGTGCCAGGCATTGGAGCTCTGCTGAGAGCCCAGACTAGTTAAACCATAATAATAAAAATTGATGTATAAAGATGAAAGACTCTGAAACGGGAGGGGGAAACAATCTAGTAGGGAGAACAGCAATGGCAGACCTGGTGAGGCTGCCCTGCTCCTTTCTCACAGTCCAAAGAAAAGGTCACACCCGAACCCTAGAAATGTGAATGTTGTCTCATAGCCACTCTGGGCACTGGGCAGTGGAGTCGGCACCATCAGTGACCCAGACTCGTCAGTGTTGTGTGGTGGACGTGACTCGTGGATGAGGCCAGCTGACCCTCCAGTAAACCGGCTAAGTCACCTGCAGAAAGTTGTCTGAATTCTTTCAAGGAAGAAATGACCACAATTTAGATTTTAAATATCTTTTGCAGTAGATTATCTTATTTACATTAATACAGAATCATTTTACATTCTTAAATCAGACACTAATAGATGCTTTATTTTAGTGAATTATAAAGGAAAACAGAAAGGAAACTCTCAGAAGTGTTCTTCATTGACCTGTCTTACGATAGCTCAAGGATCCTGAAACACAGGGAAACCGCAACGTGCTACCAGAGGGGCTGGGGCAATGGGTGTCTCGCTCTGGCTGAACGGGGAACCTTCCACCGCTTAGACTGTGCGTTCCTTTTCTGAATAAACACTTACACAGAAAAGACAATGATTGCACTGAATAACCTAAACACCCTTGGAAAATAGCGTCAGCAGTGTATGTGAGAACCAAGCCCCGGCTGGCCACGGTGGCAGGGCTCCGAGTACCCGCCTGAGGCAGCAGGTCTGCCCGGCACAGTGGCGCGGCGGTGTGGCTCAGCAGAAGAGTAGGAACCCCCACGCCTGGCTTAGAACAACAGAACTCAACAGTAGGGGACAGGCACCATCCTGGATGGGCAGGAGGAGGACGACCGTCCTGACGAGATCAGCCACCACCCCTGAGTCAGGAGTGGAACCTCCAGACCCTCAGGCCTTCGTATGTGCCCCCCAGGCCCAAGCACCACTGTGCAGCGCTGCCTGTACCTTTGGGAATTAAAAACAAACTCCAAGCAGAGCGACTGACGCTCGGCAGAACCTGTCAGGGAGGATGGCGCTGGTGGCCTGGGGGCCCAGGTTCCGGTGAAGACATCTGTCAGCAAGGACCCATCCTGAACCTCTGCAGGTTTGCTGAGAGGAAAGTAATCACTTCATGATCGGTGCAGCTTAAGGCTTCATTTTAAGCTGTAGCATGGCCTTTAATTCTTTGACTAAGATCTCCATCACATTCGATTCCAAATTAGACTTTTAGCACTGTAAGATCCAGCTGTCTTACTCTGCCAGAGCCAGAGGATGCTGAGTCACCTACCCGTGGACAGAAACCTCTAGCAGCCCTCAGAGTGCTGCAGCTACTGACCAGGGGCTGTCCATGTGAGCTTTCCGGGGGAGATGTGTTGTCACGTGATTCTGCTTTGCAAGACAGTCCAGAAGGCTCTGCAGGCAGGAGCTCAGGGCTGCTGTCTGGATCCTCCTGTCTCCCAGGCCTGGCCACGAGGAGGGACCGCTGCTTCCCCTATTCCAGTGGATCGTTTTCCTGAACAAGGAGACAAATGGTCACACTTTACTTGACATCCCAACAAACCCATCCAGCCGGAGCTTCTATCAATCCCTGGGAAGTAGCTGTGCCCAGAGAATGAGAGCCCTAGCTCCTGGGACGAGCGAATTGAAAGTGAGTCCCAAGACCCCATCGTGGGCAATCACGACTCCCGCAGCGCCCCCAGATCCCCGCCCTGCGCTGCCCAGGCAGACAGGCAGCTACAAAGCAGGCAGGAGTTGAGGAGATCTGATTCTGCCTGGCTGCTGACCATTCACTCCTGTACTGTGGGCAAGCCGGTCCACCACTGCAGGACGCAGAGCTCCTCGGAGCAGGTGTAGAGAGGCTGTGAAGCAGCCCCAGACAACTCTCCAGGAAGAGGGCACAGCAGAAGCCGGCCACTGCAGCCCGGTCAGCCCTGTCTGCTGGCCGGCTGCCACAGTGCTCCCCTAGAGGTCTAGCTCCGAGTGGAGCCAGGTTTGCCATGCTTTACATCTGGCACCTCTTCTCGGCTCCTCGGACGGGGGGCGCAATACTGGTAACAGTGAGAGAAAACAGGGATCGGTCCAGAGAGGGGCTTCCTACCTCGGCTGGGAGATCAGGAGGTAAACATTTTCTTAAGTTTGGAAAGGAATCCCTCCTTGTCCTCCCAGCCTCACGCCTAGCCTTGCTTCCTGCGGAGCTATCCGTGTGCGCCACCTGGGCACAAACAGCAAAAAGAACTGGGTGCAAGGGCACACACCTCCATGTGTCACACCCTAGGTCCGCCTACCCCTTGGCCGTCAAGGGCCTGGCACTGGAGAGCAAAGTCTCTCTTTGCCACAAAAATTCAGTCCATCCACTGATTGATTAAAGCATCTCTTTGACAACTTCCCAGCATGGTGGATCCAATCCAGGGGTCCCCAGCCTATGGTGAGTTGTATAATTATTTCATTTTATGTTACAATGTAATAGAAATAAAGTGCACAATAAATGTAATACGCTTGAATCATCCCAAAACCATACACCCCCACCTGCCTGTCTGTGGAAAAATTGTCTTCCATGAAAACAGTCCTTGGCGCCAAAAAGGTTGGAGACCGCTGCTATATACACAAAAAAGTGATGCTCCCTGCCTTGAGCTTACTTAGTGGGAGAGCCAGATACAAATGCACAATAGATAGCTTCCAAGGAGGACGAGCAGGCTGAAGTCCCCAGGGTGGGAAGGAGCCTCCCAGGCAGGGTAGGAGGGATAGACACCAAGTGTGGGCTTCCGAGATAGGTCAGGAAGAGGATAGGAGAGGTCATCTGTGTCCATCCCTAGGTGATGCTCGGGTCCCCCAGGCCTGAGGGTGGGAAACACCCGGCCTGTTGTCACTCCTTGTGGTTCCTGGCCCTGTGCCCCGGGGTCAGTACCACCCAGCCTTATTTTGTATTTCTAGATACATCATCTTGGCCAGGTGTGGTAGCTCACACCTGTAATTCCAGCACTTTAGGAGGCCAAGGTGGGAGGATGGCGTGAGCCTGGGAGTTTGAGGCTGCAGTGAGCTGTGATCAGGCCCTGTATTCCCAGCCTGGGTGACAGTGTGAGATCCTGTCTCAAAAAAAAAAAATCATCTTGCAGCCCAGCTCCAACTCAGCGGCTGGTAACAAATGTGTACCTTCTGACTCCCTGAGGGGTTCAGCACAGCAATAATAGTGTCTCTCTAGCAAGGAAACCCGCCTTTATCTTCCAAAGTCTTTCTCCAGACCTCTGCTTTCAGAAGGCAGGACATGAACGGGACTCTGGCTGACCTCTCCAGGACTAAATCTGGACAAGAGACACAGTCCACCTTCCCAGCGCTGTGTCCCCAGGACCTAGAACAGTGCCTGGCCCATACTGAGTGTCCACAGCAGGCGGGTAACAAATGTTTTGTTGATCAAAATACTGGGAAGTATCTGAGATGGGCAGAGTCACTGCTGAGCCTCTTTCCATCAGCTCTTTCCCCAGTCTCTGCCCACCCTGACCCAGAGAACACCCTCACAGCTCACCTCGCTCAGCCCGGAATGCAGGGTGGGTTGAGCTGGAGCTGCCAGGGCCCCCTCCAGCTGTGCCAGGCATTGGAGCTCTGCTGAGAGCCCAGACTAGTTAAACCATAATAAGTAAAAATTTGATGTATAAAGATGAAAGACTCTGAAACGGGAGGGGGGAAACAATCTAGTAGGGAGACAGCAATGGCAGACCTGGTGAGGCTGCCCTGCTCCTTTCTCACAGGCTCCCAAAGAAAAGGTCACACCCGAACCCTAGAAATGTGAATGTTGTCTCATAGCCACTCTGGGCACTGGGCAGTGGGAGTCGGCACCATCAGTGACCCAGACCTGTCAGTGTGTGTGGGTGGACGTGACTACGTGGATGAGGCCAGCTGACCCTCCAGTAAACCCCGGCTAAGTCACCTGCAGAAAGTTGTCTGAATTCTTTCAAGGAAGAAATGACCACAATTTAGATTTTAAATATCTTTTTGCAGTAGATTATCTTATTTACATTAATACAGAATCATTTTACATTCTTAAATCAGACACTAATAGATGCTTTATTTTAGTGAATTATAAAGGAAAACAGAAAGGAAACTCTCGAGAAGTGTTCTTCATTGACCTGTCTTACGATAGCTCAAGGATCCTGAAACACAGGGAAACCACAACGTGCTACCAGAGGGGCTGGGGCAATGGGTGTCTCGCTCTGGCTGAACGGGGGGAACCTTCCACCGCTTAGACTGTGCGTTCCTTTTCTGAACAAACACTTACACAGGAAAAGACAATGATTAGCACTGAATAACCTAAACACCCTTTGGAAAATAGGCGTCAGCAGTGTATGTGAGAACCAAGCCCCGGCTGGCCACGGTGGCAGGGCTCCGAGTACCCGCCTGAGGCAGCAGGGGTCTGCCCGGCACAGTGGCCGCGGCGGCTGTGGCTCAGCAGAAGAGTAGGAACCCCACCACGCCTGGCTTAGAACAACAGAACTCAACAGTAGGGGACAGGCACCATCCTGGATGGGGCAGGAGGGAGGACGACCGTCCTGACGAGGATCAGCCACCACCCCTGAGGTCAGGAGTGGAACCTCCAGGGACCCTCAGGGCCTTCGTATGTGCCCCCCAGGCCCCAAGCACCCACTGTGCAGCTGCCTGGTACCTTTGGGAATTAAAAACAAACTCCAAGCAGAGCGACTGACGCCTCGGCAGAACCTGTCAGGGGAGGATGGCGCTGGTGGGGCCTGGGGGCCCCAGGTTCCCGGTGAAGACCATCTGTCAGCAAGGACCCATCCTGGAACCTCTGCAGGTTTGCTGAGAGGAAAGTAATCACTTCATGAGTCGGTGCAGCTTAAGGCTTCATTTTTAAGCTGTAAGCATGGCCTTTAATTCTTTGACTAAGATCTCCATCACATTCGATTCCAAATTAGACTTTTAGCACTGTAAGAGTCCAGCTGTCTTACTCTGCCAGAGCCAGAGGATGCTGAGTCACCTACCCGTGGACAGGAAACCTCTAGCAGCCCTCAGAGTGCTGCAGCTTACTGACCAGGGGCTGTCCATGTGAGCTTTCCGGGGAGAGATGTGTTGTCACGTGATTCTGCTGTTGCAAGACAGTCCAGAAGGCTCTGCAGGCAGGAGCTCAGGGCTGCTGTTCTGGATCCTCCTGTCTCCCAGGCGCCCTGGCCACGAGGAGGGACCGCTGCTTCCTGGCCTAGTTTCCAGTGGATCGTTTTCCTGAGACAAGGAGACAAATGGTCACACTTTACTTGACATCCCAACAGAACCCATCCCAGCCGGAGGGCTTCTATCAATCCCTGGGAAGTAGCTGTGCCCAGAGAATGAAGAGCCCTAGCCTCCGGGGACGAGCGGAATTGAAAGTGAGTCCCAAGACCCCATCGTGGGCAATCACGACTCCCGGCAGCGCCCCCAGACTCCCCCGCCCTGCGCTGCCCAGGCAAGACAGGCAGCTACAAAGCAGGCAGGAGTTGAGGAGATCTGAGTTCTAGGCCTGGCTCTGCTACCATTCACTCCTGTGACTGTGGGCAAGCCGGTCCCACCACTGCAGGACGCAGAGCTCCTCGGAGCAGGTGTGAGGAGGGCTGTGAAGCAGCCCCCAGACAACCTCTCCAGGAAGAGGGCACAGCAGAAAGCCGGCCACTGCAGCCCGGTCAGCCCTGTCTGCTGGCCGGCTGCCACAGTGCTCTCCCCCTAGAGGTCTAGCTCCGAGTAGAGCCAGGTTTGCCATGCTTTACACTGGCACCTCTTCTGGCTCCTCGGGACGGGGGGCGCAATACTGGTAACAGTGAGAGAAAACAGGGATCGGTCCAGAGAGGGGCTTTCCTACCTCGGCTGGGAGATCAGGAGGTAAACATTTTCTTAAGTTTGGAAAGGAATCCCTCCTTGTCCTCCCCAGCCTCACGCCTAGCCTTGCTTCCTGCGGAGCTATCCGTGGTGCCGCCACCTGGGCACAAACAGCAAAAAGAACTGGGGTCAAGGGCACACACCTCCATGTGTCACACCCTAGGTCCCCGCCTACCCCCTTGGGCCGTCCAAGGGCCTGGCACTGGAGGAGCAACCCAGCGCCACCCCAGGAAGAAGGGCCACTCCCATGTTGGCCAGAGGAGAGCAGGCCACCCAGAGCCCAAGGGTGTCCTGGCTGCTCTTTGAGTCCTGGGCCCAAAAGCAGGGAAACAAGAAAGAGAGACAGACGGTGACCAGCTGTCTCTGTCTGAACAAGAGTAACAAAACACAGCCAAGAGCCTGATGCTTCCCAGGCCAGGCCACAGTTTACACACATTAGCTACACAATCCTCAGGGTAACCTTACAAGCAAACTTCACAGATAAAACAAAAAAAACAAGGCAGGCACAGAGGTTAGGTGGTTAATCCAAGGTCACAGAGCCAACAAGTAGGTGGAGGCTGAGTCCAGGCTCCTCACCACCAGGCTAATGGGTGTAGGGAGATAAATCATGTCCACCAAGATAAGATCCTATTTCTTTTTTGTTTGTTTAAGACCAACCGACCAGACTGTGTGCTGTGTGTGTGCACATGTCTCCAGGACACCCGAAAAGGACTCACTGCACGCAGAATCCTCTCTCATGTACACTGCTTGTCTGTCTCAGCATCAGCAGGAGTCTACGTTCCCGAGCAAGCTCTTCCATCTGGAGCACCTAGCCCCACACGCTCCAGGTCAAGGGAAGCTGTTCTGTTGTTTCTTGAAGGCCAAGGCTGAGACTACCTAGGGGAACTTTGCTGCACAAATGTGTATTTTAAAGTTTTGCCAACCACTAGGCAAGAAGGGTCAACCTTTGTTATAATTTAGAATACAGATCTAAACTGAACACTTTAAATGTAGGCCACGTTTTTAATGTGCTCAGAGACATACACCACATACAGAGTAAAGAATGGTGGTCCCCAAGTCTCAGTCCAAGTAAAACTGCCTTCCTTAGTGACAGGCCCAAAGCTTGGGGTAACAGGTCCCTAAGAAAGGATGGGCATGGGGCATAGCACAATGAGAGCCTACTTGGTGTGTTCCCAGGACCTGGGACCATGGCCTGTTCCTCAGGCCTGACATGCTCTCAGAGCTCACATGTGTTCTCAGAGAAAGAACAGCGCCCTGAGCAAGGACGTGCTGAACAAGACCTGGGCAATCGCCACAGTGGCTAGGGCTGCAGCCGAGCTCCAGGACTCCACAGAGGAGGAGCCAGGCCCTACACAACTCTGCTCAGGAGCACCCTACCGCCACAGGGCCATGAAGTCAGTTGTGCCCTATCTTTGCATCCCCTTCTCTTACATAAAGGCTTAAACAACAAAAAGGACTCCCCTAATGCAACAGAAACAAGAAACTCCCATCACTCCTGGGACTCCTAAGACAAGGAGAGCAAGAGTTTTGAATTATGTCCTTGGTAAGCAGATGGCGAATCTCAGTGTGCGCGCGGGTGAGTCACACTATGAGAGCTACCTCTGCCGGAACTTCTGACAGGCACCAGGTACTGTGCCAGAGCCTTACCCATGTGATCTCATTTAGTTATATAAAAACCCAGGCCAGGCGCAGTGGCTCACCCCTGTAATCTTAGCACTCTGGGAGCCGAGGTGGGAGCACACTTGAGGCCAGGAGTCCAAGACCAGGCTGAGCAATAGTGAGAGCCTGTTTCTACAAAAGATAAGGAAAAAGACTTAGCCAGGTGTGGTGATGCACGCCTGTAGTCCTAGCTCCTTGGGAGGCTGAGGCAGGAGGATCACTTGAGCCCAAGAGTTTGAGGTTGCAGTGAGCTATAATGATGCCACTGCACTCTAGCCCAGCAACAGAGACCCTGTCTCCAAAAAAAGAAAAAACAAAAAATCAAAACCCTATAAGTAGTGCTCCTGTTATCTCTAATTTACACATGAGGAAACTGAGGCTCAGAGAGGTAAAGTAATTTGACTAAGGCTCAACAGCTAATAACAGCAGAGCTGGCCTGAATCACCTAACATCAGAACCCAAGCTCTTAACTACGTGTCAAGGGACACAAACACTCTCAGCAACTTCTGTCACCTTCCTCCTCCACCCCTGCTGTCCTTGTCACCCAGAGGGCAAGAAGTGGCTTGTGCCCCATGCCATGGATATACCTTAGCCATCGTGGCCAAAGTCTGGGGGATCTAGAATAAGCACCTGGTTAGCTGGTGAGAGTTCCAATAGCACAAAAACAAAAAACAAATGAAACACAGACATACACTCAGAAATTCTCACCTCCTGCCACCAGGAACAGCCTCAGCCCTATTTTAGGTTTGGGTAAAAAGAGTATGGGCTCCTTTAGGAATAGGGTTTACTGGCAGGGACATCAGAGGATATAAAGCACTGATTCTGAAATTCTTTCTTTTCTTTTCTTTTTTATTGCTTTTTGAGTCAGAGTCTCACTCTGTCACCCAGGCTACTGTGCCGTGGCATCTTCAGAGCTCACACCAACTTCAAACTCCTGGGCTTTAGGGATCCTCCTGTCTCAGCCTCCTCCCAAATAGGTGGGACTACAGGTGCGCGAATAACGCCCAGCTCAATTTTCTATTTTTAGTTGAGTTGGGGGGTCTCACTCTTGCTCAGGCTGGTCTCGAACTCCTGAGCTCAAGTAGTCCTCCCGCCTTGGCCTCCCAGAATGCTAGGATTGCGGCATGAGCCACTGCGCCCAGCCCTGAGTCTGAAATTCTAAACCAAATGTTAGCAATCAGCTGTCAGCCACTGTACATTGATAATGAAGTCCACAATGTATCACTTTCCTCTCTCTCAAACTCCTGATTTCCAAGGACCAGCCTGGGGCAGGAGGAAGGACGTGTCCTTTCAGGATATCCTCAGCACTTAGGTGACTTCTGGTCCATTAGAGGATACAAATGTGAACACTTTATTTCCAAAGCTGCTTTAAACAGAGCACTTTAAATAAAGTACACACTGTTTGCACTTTAGAATAAACAAGAACTGCCCTGAGGAAGTCCCCTCCAGCTGACAGGGCACCGAACAGTGTTTCTGGTCTGCATCTTTGGACAGTGACCACAACAGAAAGGGAAGGGAGCTGCTCGGCAGAGCTGAACCAGAAGGTCCCAGACCCCACACACGCACACACACCAGTTGTGGTCTTCCTGACAAGGGATCACATGCCCATCTTTCCCTCAGAGCACTTCCCAGCCCGTGCTTAGGAAAATAAATGAAAACAAGCGCAAACAACATTTACTGTGAGCCAAGCTTGTGCCACACACGGGGCAAGGCGGCAGGACACGAGGAAACATTCCAGTTCACTACAGGCAGGAATCCCCCATCACAGCTGTTCAATGGCTGCTTATGGGGTGACACCAGGGGAAGAAAAACTAGATGACATTCATTCCATGAACCTGTATCACCCGTTGAGGCCAAAGTGTTTTCTCCACAGTTATACAACTCCTAGTGTTACTTTAAAGGTCTGATATGGGCCGGGCGCGGTGGCTCACACCTGTAATCCTAGCACTCTGGGAGGCCAAGGCGGGCGGATTGCTCGAGGTCAGGAGTTAGAAACCAGCCTGAGCAAGAGTGAGACCCCCATCTCTACTAAAATCAGAAAGAAATTAATTAGCCAACTAACATATATAGGAAAAATTAGCCGGGCATGGTGCTGCATGCCTGTAGTCCCAGCTACTCGGGAGGCTGAGGCAGAAGGATCGCTTGAGACCAGGAGTTTGAGGTTGCTGTGAGCTAGGCTGACGCCATGTCACTCTAGCCTGGGGAACAAAGCAAGACTGTGTCTCAAAAAAAAAAAAAAGAATCAATGACGATCCAGAAGAAAAGCAACGAGCCACACTGAAAGAGTCACGTAGTGACCTAACCACAAACTGTCCCCAATTCCCTGTGTCTTGCTGACAGGAGATGTACCCACTTATCCCCGAGAGCACTAAGTGTGCCTGAGCACACCGTGGTCTTTCTGGTTCACAGACTGGGAGAGACACCAGGGTCGGCTATTAAGGTTTTCAGTAGCTACGTTAAGGAACAAAAATAAACAAGAGATACTAAAGCCATCAAAAACTTCAGCCTGTTTGTTTAGGCTTTAGGCCTAAGTAACTATATATTCCAAATGTCTTCTGTGTACCCTTTTCCTGTAATGAAAACAAGTCTTCAAAGACATCTAGGAATCAATTTGTATCCGTAGATAACTCACCAGTCTCTAATGACTCTATCTCGTGTGTGCCTAGAAGGCTATTAAACAGTGCCACGAGCTGCCTTTATCCTGTGAACCACTGGGAAGTGAATACAAACTGCTTCTAGTATAAGTGTAGTTTTGTTGAATGCTTGAAATGAGACAGTCTGGGCCATGTACGGTGGCTCACGCCTGTAATCCCAGCACTTCGGGAGACCAAGGTAGGAGGATCACTTGAGCCCCAGGATTTTGAGGCTGCAGTGAGCTGTGATGATGCCACTGCACTCTAGACTGGGTAAAAGAGTAAGACCCTGCCTCTAAAAAAAAACAAACAGATTTACAGCCAACTGTCAATTGTGTTTGCAGCCAGCACCGCCTCCAGCTCCCTGAGCTCCAGCCCAAGGAAAAGGGGATAAGGAAGGAGGTCTTTACACCAGGGTCAGTCGTACAAAGCAAACTCCTGCAAACCGACAGGTGCTAAAGCACCCAGGAAGGAACCGGCTACAAAAGCCGCTCGCAAGAGTGCGCCCTCTACTGGCGGAGCGAGGAGACCTCACCGCTGCAGGCCTCGTACTGTGGCACCCCCTGAAAGGAGATGTTATCAGAAGTCCACTGAACTTCTGATTCACAAACCTCCTTTCCCACATCTGGTGCGAGAAATTGCTCAGGACTTCAAAGCAGATCTGTGCTTCTATAGCACAGCTCTTGCTGCTTCACAGGAGGCAAGTGAGGCCTATATGTATCTGGGTGGCCTTTTTGAAGACACCAACCTGTGTGCTATCCATGCCAAACGTGGAACAGTTATGCCAAAAGACATCCAGCTAGCACCCCGCATACGTGGAGAACTGTACCATAAATAGAAAGAAATTAGCCAAAATAACTAAAAATAGAAAAAATTAGCCGGGCACGGTGGCACATGCCTGTAGTCCCAGCTACCTGGGAGGCTGAGGCAATAGGATTGCTTGAGCCCAAGAGTTTGAGGTTGCAGTGAGCTAGGCTGATTCGACGGCATTCTAGCCCAGGCAAGAGAGTGAAAAAAAAAAAAAAAAAAAAATTCTATTCTTCCTGTCATTGGTAGTTTTGAATGTTAGGTGTTTTGTTTTTTTTTTCACATGGGGTCATAAGGTACCTAAATATATGATTGTGAGTAGAAACATAGGGGACAGAAATCAAGTATTGGCAGTTTTTCCATTTCCATTTGTGTGTGAATTTTTAACAAATGCAGATATATGAAGCATTAATGCAAGCCAAAATGTTTTGATGAACAAGTTTCAGCAGTTCAACTTAATAACAATTATAAATAAACCTGTTAAATTTTTCTGGACAATGCCAGTATTGGATTTTTTAAAAACAAAATTCTCACTGACAGCAAAAAAAAAAAAAAAGAGAGAGAGAGAGATTCAGGGTCTACTTATGTAAATAAAATCCACTGTTTGAGAAGTTGTCAGGAAATGGGAATTATATGTAATATTTTCATATGTAGATTGAAAAGATAACTTTCTGCACAATATAATGAAAGGCTTAGCCACACCTAAGGCAGCAGAATGACAGAGTATTCTGTGAAGCCAATTCTAAGATTCTTAAATGCCATTTACAAAATTTTATCTGGGAGCCAAATTTCCCAGTGGAATAGAACTCTGAAAATGACAATTGAAGTAAGTAGAAAGAAATATAATTTGGGATACCTATTTCACGTTATACACTTTTCAGAAATGCATCCAATGCAAATATTAAGGTTAAGCTATCCTCAGCAAAATTATGTCATTAAGAATGTTAATAGGAAGAGGTGACAACTGGTCTGGCACACAGGAGGCTCCCAATAAATCCTGGCTGAATGAGAGAACTGGCTATCAGGACAAGGGACTATGTAAACAATAAAGGTTCTAAGGCTGGTCTCAAACACCTGGCCTCAAGCAATCCTCCCACCTCAGCCTCTCACAGTGCTAGGATTACAGGTATGAGCCACCGTGCCCAGCTTAAGTTTTTACTGCTGTGGCTGCTGTTGTTATAAGGCTGTGGTCCCCAGGCTTCAAGGAATTGTACTGGTCCACAGCTGCTGGAGAACGGGCTGCAGACCTCTGCCATCACCTCCAGAGGCCCCCCAGTTTTTCCATGGAAAAATTGTCTCCCATGAAATTTAGGAAGGGGGCACCACACAGCAGGGGGTGAGTAGCCGGCAAGCCAATGAAGCTTCATCTGTATTTACAGCCGCTCCCCATTGCCGGCATCACGACCTGAGCTCTGCCTCCCCAATCCTCCCACCCTCAACTCATGGAAAAATTGTCTTCCATGAAACTGATCTCTGGTGCCAAAAGGGTAGGGACCACTGTTATAAGACACTCTGAAATCCTGGAGAAGCGTCTGGGGTGAGGAATGTATACATCTTTCCAATTCATCTTTTCCTTAAGCTTCTGCAAGGAGCTATCATGGAGGGATACGCTGAGGTCACAAAGCAAGTGGCAGAACCAAGGATAGAATTCAGAGTGCCAGCTGAGACACACAGCTACCTAGCAGGGAGCGCCCTTGAACCCTTACCTCAGCACATGAACACATACAGAACAAAAGAGAAGCTTTTACTGAGGGCTGCAGCTCCACTCCAGCTGTCCCTGCCCACAGCAGCCCTCTTTCAACTGCGCTTTTCAGAGGCTTCAGGAAGACCCTGAGTGGAAACCCCCAACATGCTGCCCAGAATCACCTACCCTCCAAGGGACTCGGAGGACTCTACATGCCACTGTGTGACCCCTTACCAGAGCTGGTGAGGGTGACGCCATTCACCGTCCCCTCCACGTCCGTCTCATCCTCAGCGTAGCTCAGCATCAGGCTCTGCTGCCGGCTTGTCAGCCTCCTGTGGGCGGAGCACAGTTGGTGGCTGAGTGCTTCCTCTGGGCAGCTCTCTAAAGGACACACATGCAGCCAGTGCCCTCACAGCATGTGGCCAAGTTGGGACCCCGACCCAGGCAGGGATGCGCACTGAGCCAGTGATGAGATCCTGGGGCCTCAAAGTGTCTGCAGAGAAAAGCTCCTAAAATATGCTCACAGTTGTTAAAACGCCATCTTGGTGGCTGTGCCAAGTACAGTTTACGAGGAGGAAGATTTTTTTACAAGCCTGTGTATGAAGCAGATAAGAAACTAATCTAATGAAAAGGACCACTGCTGATACCCGGCCTCCTGAGAGAGTTGGGCCCGCCCCACCCCGGTGCCCACAGCACTCTGCCCAGACCCTCCCTCTTCCTGGTCACTTACGTTCTCATGCTCGAGACAGCTGTAATAACACTGATGATAAAATCAACAGTAGCGGCAACAGCTAAGCATTTCTCATGTCTTATTCATTTAATTCTCCCAATAACTCTGTGAGGTCACCCTATCCATTATGTCCACTTTACAGATGGAGAACTTGCGCAGGACACACTTACTCAAAGGGAGAAGGGACCTGCCTCAGCTCAGGCAGTCTGCCTGAACCACGGCCCTGGAGCGCTCGGTGCGGCGCTGGCAGGTGAGTGGCTCAGCCGGCTCCTGCCTGGTGGAAGAGAGCATGCTGCCCTCTGGCAAGCCTGGCCATGGCCTAAGCGGGCACTCACTTTGGAACTTTTATCTTGATGTGGATATAGTGATCTCCGTAGCCATAGCTGTTAATCCGGGGGATGCCTTTCCCACCCATCCGAATCTTCTGGTCTGTCTGAACCCCAGGAGGGATCTGTGAAGAAAGGAAACCTGTCGTTGGGCGTGGTGGTGCCTAAGGTCCCAGCTACTCAGGAGCCTCGGGCAGAAGGATGCTTGAGCCCAGGAACTTGAGGTTACAGGAGCTATGATCACACCACTACACTCTAGCCTGGATGACAGAGCAAGACCCTGTCTCTTTAAGAGAAAGAAAGGAAGTCTGTGGTTTCTCCTGTGGTCCTCAGTTGCCCAAATGAAAACAGTTTCACTACATGAAGACAATCTTGAAAAGAACTCCTCAAAAAAAACTTCCACTCAGGTTTCTGGACCAAGGTTGCTAACAACCACATGGAAATGGGCTGCATTGGGGTCTGCCCAGAGCACGGCCTGGGACCAGGACAAGCAGACAGGAGTTTGGGGAAGGTGAGCCCACGAAGCAAGAGTGAGGGAGCGAAGCAGGAGACTCCGGAGCAGGAGGAACCAACACAGGGTGTGTGGCCCTCCCCAGGCTCAATCCCACAGGATCCTGGAGAAGCCCAGAGAAGGGGCCTCGGACAGAGGTGGAAGCCTTGATCTACAGTACCCACCTCCTTGATGGGTCACCCCAACATCCCCTACACCCCACACCGAGGCTGGAGAAGGCCCTGCAGCGAATGCATGCGAAGAGTGGTGGGACCTGGAGGTGGGAAGGGCGTGGAGGCGGATGGGGTGAGGTGCAGGTGGTGCACAAGAAGCTGTTCGCTGTGGCCACAACCTAAAACCAGAGGTGGCCAGGGGTATATAACTCGGTACCAGAGGCGTCTGTTCTCACAGTCAGACGCTGGGTGGAAACACATGCAGAGAGCACATACTAGGGCGACGCATCTCTGCATCACAGGTGTGGCCTGGTTCACAGGCCCCGCTACCCAGCAGAGGAACAGATGCCGGCCAGGAGCTGCTTTTCATGGTGATTAATTCCACAGTCAAGTCCTGTGGCTTGTGATCCACACCCAAGGAATAGCCTAAAATTCCTCATGCCCTCCCCTGTGCGTCCCCCTGGCATGATGGTCACACACAGGTTCCATGCCACTAGTCAGCTGTTTCCCATTTCAGAAAAAGAGCAACGAAGTGCAAGGGTGGCAAAGACCGTGTCTTGCCCTCTTACCGTCACATTGATCGTCTCGTACAGGCCCTGGGCTCTGGCTGTCCCCCCAAGAATAGCCTGAGCTATAGAAATGAAGAGGTCGGAGTGGATGTCTGCGCCGTCCCTCCGGAACACGGGGCTTTTCTGCACCTGAGGCCAAACATGAGAGATGAGCATGGCCCACCAGAGACAGCTGTGCGTGAGACTAAACATCAGCTGCAAGACTTGCCAGAACCGAGCTGGGGGCTGATAAACTTTACGCCCTCTCTGCTTACAGCACAGCATTGACGGAAGCACCACCCCAGGCCCTGGCAGTGACGCGTTCTACACATTGGTGTGCTGTGATGGAAGAGTGCCTAGATTTCCTCAGTCTCAGACCACGCTGTTCAGTTGTGAAGGGAAATAAAAATGTAAAACTGGTTTTTTGAAGATTTTTTTCTAAATCTTACTTTATTGGAAAGTATAGACAAAAACAAACTGACATATCTACAAAGGTGAAAATAGTTTATCTTCCAGATGGTCATTTGATACAAGCTACTGGCAGCTCAGGAATTAACTTGATTTTATAAATACTATTTCTTATGTCTCAACGACGTTCTTTGCCCTCAATTATTTCTTCTTCTCTCTTTTTCTTTTTTCTCTATTATTTTTTTTTTATTATATATTTTTTTTTTGTTTAAAGACTAGTCAAGTGCAGTAGTGAGGAGGGGGGAAAGTAGTAGAACAAGGAGTTCAATCTGTAACTGACTGTGAACAATCACATGAGATAACTCACTACCTTCGGACCAGCCTTTTTTCTCTATTATTAGATGGGAATAGAAGCTGAATTCTCTACCAATCTTTTTTCATAGACCGGCTTCCAGCTTTCTGCCTTCATCTTTCTCAGCCTAGAATATTCACCCTTAACATTGTTTTTGCCTTTGTTTTAAATTATGGAATGTTTGACATATACAAAAAGGCAAAGTAAATAATTTGTCAAGCAGGGGGTGCCCACAGCCAGCTTAGGTGACAAAATATTGCCAACACAGCTGAAGTCTCCTCGCACTCCTCAGTTAACCGCTACCTGGAATTTAGCATTTATCGTTCCTTCAAGCAACTCTTCACCTTCACTATGTACTTCCACGTCCCTGAATAATACATAATACCACCTGACATGCTTTGCAGCTTTATGCAGGTGGTCACCTGTGCCCTAGAGCCTCTTACAACCTGCCTTCCTCCCCTGTGGTTTGTAACTGGTGCCGTGTGCCCTCCTCACTGCCTGCAGCACTCTGCCCACAGCCGTCCGCTGGCCGTTCTCTTGTTCAAGGACAGCAGGACGTTGTCAGTGTCTTGCTATTACAAACAGGGCTGTCACACAGACCCTGGTACCTGCCACTGGCTACCCCTGTGTTAGTTTTTCTCAGGTGTACATCTAGGAGTGCATTTGCTGGTAGAAGACACTCTCTTCTTTAATGCCTCCATTATCTCAGAAAATCAAGGTCTGCCCTTCGTATACAGCATACAAACACATACTGCCACCATCATCAATTTGAAACATAAATAAAAACACAAGGAGATGTTGTCTATATTTTTATATGCCCTATATTTCTAATTTGTAAACATCTTGAAGTTGTATTCACTCCACACCTTCATGGTAGCAGATAACTAACAACAACATCTAAGAGGCCACTGCCCCCTCAGAAATATGAATGGTAAGACATGCTCCCCTGAAGCTCTGAGCTCCTTCCAAGGAAGAGCCTCAGTTGCACCTACTCCAAGAGAGCAAGGGCCCGACAGAAGCTCAGCGGGCAGAGCACCTACCCTGAACGTGACGAAAATTTCTTTCTTTCCTACAGGCATCCTCACGGTCTGGCCATCCTCAACTCCTAGAAGGAAGTTCAAAAGAGAACAATTACCGTGGGTCTTCTCACAGCATTTTCTACCCAAGATCCACTTATCACCCGTGTTCCTTATTCATTCCTTTTTCTTACTAATGAGGAACAAGGCAATTATACAAGACAGCAACAAGGATAACTTTCCAAAGGTGCAACATGCACTAACTGATTACTGAACAAGAGCACCTTGGAGACATTCATTAAAGTTTACTGAATACCTGCCTCATGCCTGGTCTATGCAGGACCTCAGGGAGTTTACAGTCTAGTAGGGGAGACAAGTATTTATAAAATGATAACACTTATAAATGTGCAATTACAAAGATGTGTTTTTAAAAGGAAAAGGTCACAACTCCAGAGAAAGTACATCTAAATAACAGGAAGGAAGGCTGGGGACAGTGGCTCATGCCTGCAATCCCAGCACTTTGGAAGGCCAAGGCAGGAGGATCACTTAAGGCCAGGAGTTCAAGACCAGCCCCAGCCTGGGCAACACAGTGAGACCCCATCTCTACAAAAAATACAAAAATTAGCCTGCTGTGGTGGCACACACCTATAGCCCCAGCTACTTGGGAGGCTGACGCAGGAGGATCACTTTAGCCCACGAGTTTGAGGTTGCTGTGAGCTATGATCGTACCACTGCACTCTAGCCTGGATGTCAGAACAAGACCCTGTCTCCAAAAAACAAAAATAAACAGGGAGGAGAGAGGCTTTCTTGGGGAAGCAACACTAAGCTGGAGTCTCCAAGAAGAACAGTGAACCTTAACCGCTATAAGAAGATGTGGACAGTTAAGTTTCAGACATAGGAACAGTGTATGTGGAGTCCAGGAGACACAGGAGGTCCAGAAGAGGAGGTATAAACAGAGTGGCAATGGGGACAATGCTGGCCTCGTCGACTTAAGATGGGGGGAGAGAGAGGACAAGAAGTGGCAGGTCAGGAACTGCTCCTGCACCAGAAAGGAGCAGGGTGTGCAACTCAGTTTTCTTTTCTCCAATGTGACATGCGAAGTGTAGACTTTAAGGATAACTGGCACTAAGAGGAAGAGTCAAGAAGATTCTAGGTCTTCCTCCAGCCTGGGGCTCCAGGGCCTCAACCACAGCTCCTACCAACAGCCAAGTCACACGGGGTGCAGCCACCTCAGCCCTGTCCAAGCCCCTGGACACGGAGAGCCCGAGAGCCCACCTGCAGGCACGGGGATCACCACTCGCTTCTTCTGCTTGGCTTGTCCTGCTCCCCTGCAGACCACACAGGGAGATATGATGATGGAGCCGCGGCCACCACATCTCCGACATGTGGAACGCATCACAAAAGGGCCTGTATTGATGGTTTCCTGGTGAAACAGAGAAGAAAAATGGTACCTGTAAGTATGCAGGTAAACTGATGGCCATGGCTCCGGGACCACAATGTGCACAAGAAAAATGCTTTGTGAAAGGCTTATTTTTTACATGCTTACACACTAAAACATACTGCCTAGGAAAACAGGTCAGGGGCTTAGACTGTCAATCTGATTTTCTAGAACACACCAACTTCTGAATTCCAGATCACCAAGTTGATTATATGAGACTGAAAAAGGAGCTACTGCCTCTCTATAGAAGTCCTGAAAACCCCTGAGAGCTGAGCAGCACATTTAAAAAAGATTATTCTCCTTCTAATTACAAAAGCAGTAGTTGGAAAAATAAAGAAGAAAATGACAATTGGATGCACCCTCCCAACTCCCAGCTGCTGTGCTCCGGTCACCGAGCCTGCAATTCCCGGGGAGGAGGAACGCAGGCCTCTGACAGCTCAGGGCCACTTGGGAAGAGAGAGCTGGGCATTCACTAACACACACACATACACACACCGCGCAGGCACTCAGGAACAACGACACAGCAGCTCTCACAGCCACTGGTGTCCTGGCCTGTCTCTTCCTGCCCCCAACTCCCAAGGTTCCCAACTATCCCTCCTGAGCAAGTGGTTGAAGGCATCAAACACTGTGGTTCAAAGGGGCTAAGGTGAGCCCCACAGTGGGAGCTGCTCTGCCAAAATCAGACGAGAACAAGAAGACGGGGTAGAAACTAACTGTGGATTAAAGGCGCAGGGGCTGCGCTCAGGCTGGCAGTGCACAGAGCTTACGCACAATTTCCCTCTCCCGAGAACAACTTCTCCCTCATCCCCATCTACCCACCCCCTCCTCCAAGGAGCCCCTCATCTGTCAGCCCCTCCAAAGGTAACCAACTCCTTCCTGCCAGCACAGACCATACCAGTCTCTGAAACATATGCCAGTCTGGAGGGTGAGCCAAGGGTATTTTCTTGCTTTGGTTTTCCTTGCCCTGACTAGTGAGGAACGTTTACCAGTCACTTGCACTTCCTCTTGGGCTCAGCCTGGACCAGTTTCTCTAATGAGCTGTTGGATTAGTCTCATTATCCTTACAAGCCCTTTGCATGTCAGGAAGACTAATCCTTTAGCAAATTGTTGCAAACAATTTTCCTGGTGTCAAACATTACATTTTGAGAAAATATACTTCAGCCTTATTATCTTATCCCAATGTTCACTTCAGAAATGTCTTAAAAAAAAGTCACAGCAATATAGGGCCTTGGAGGAAGGACCCTGAAAGTGAAGTGAAAGGGTGGATGAATAATTTAAAAATCTGTAACAAGTGACAGCAACTCAGCCCACAAAACTGTAGCCATAGGAATCCTCCTCTTCTCTAAGAGCATCCTCTAAAGGAACATGAGCTCAATTTAACTTTCTCAGTGGAAAATTGGTCTTTTTTTTAACAATAGGAGTATTTACAAATAAGTAACTTTGGCTATATCTGTGGACTGTTATTCAGTTATCAAAATTGATGTTTAAAAACATTCAAAAGATGGGGCCAGGTGTGGTGGCTCATGCCTGTGATCCTAGCACTCTGAGAGGCTGAGGCAGGAGGATCGCTCAAGGTCAGGAGTTCGAAACCAGCCTGAGCAAGAGCGAGACCCCGTCTCTACTAAAAATAGAAAGAAATTGATTGACCAACTAAAAATATGTAGAAAAAATTAGCTGGGCATGGTGGCACATGCCTGTAATCCCAGTTACTCGGGAGGCTGAGGCAGGAGGATTGCTTGAGCCCAGGAGTTTGAGGTTGCTGTGAGCTAGGCTGATGCTACGGCACTCACTCTAGCCTGGCCAACAAAGTGAGACTCTGTCTCAAAAAAAAGAAAAAGAAATTAATTGGCCAACTAAAAATATATAGAAAAAATTAGCCAGGCATGGTGGCACATGCCTATAGTGGCAGGTATTCAGGAGGCAGGAGGATTGCTTGAGCCCAGGAGTTTGACGTTGCTGTGAGCTAGGCTGACACCACAGCACTCTAGCCCAGGCAACAGTGAAACTCTGTCTCAAAAAAAAAAAAGAGAAAAATTAGCCAGGCACGGTGGCGCTCACCAGCTACTGGGGAGACTGAGGCAGAAGTTTAGGGTTGCTGTGAGCTATGATGATGCCACTGCACTCTAGCAGGGAGACAGAGCAAAACCCCGTCTCAAAAAGAAAAAAACCCTTCTTAAAAAGAAAAAAAAAAAAACCTCAAAAGACATGAAAAATGCTTACATTATAATAAAGGAAAGGCAAAGAAATTTTCATGTAAGATTTTCAACTAGGTTGAAAATTTTATATATATCTATGTATATATGGGCAAAATCACATTCAAAATCAAAAGACAAATGACAACTCGAGAAAATACAACTCAAATCATTGACAAATGACTAATTTCCTTAATTTATAAAGAGCTTCTAGAAATGAATAAGACCAATTACTAAATAGAAAGAAGGACAAATGACTGAATTTGATGCAAAGAAAAAATGTCTCTCAAATCTTAGAAAAGGTGCTCAACATCATTAGCCATCAGTGAAATGCAATTCAAAACCATGGTATCACTTCACACCCATTAGGATGGCTACTATGAAACAAAACAGAAAACAACTAGTGTTGATGAGACCCTTAGTAGAAGACCAGCTAAGCTGTGCTTGGACTCCTAACCCTGGACTTTCAGAAAATATAAGGTCATAAGTGGGTATTGTTTTAAGCCGCTGAGTTTGTCATAAAGTGTTATGCAACAATAGAAAACTAATATGGATTTTGCTGAGGCATTTGCATCAAATTACAGAGAGCATGGGGAGTCACTGGAAGTATTTCAGTAGGGAAACATAATAACTATCTCAAATGTGAGGGAAAAAAAACTACAGTTGGTGAGGATGTAGAGAAATTAGAAGCCTAGTGTACTGTTGGTGGGAATGTAAAATGGTAGAGTCACAGTGGAAAACAGTATGACAGTTCTCAAGAAATTAAAAATAGAATTACCACATGATCCATCAGTTTCATTCTGGATATATCTAAAAGAATTACAAGTAAGGTCTCAAAGAGATATATACACACACCCATGTTCATAGCAGCATTACTTACAACAGCTAAAACATCTAAGTAATCCAAGTATCCTTCCGCAATGAACAGATAGCAAGATATGGCATATACATATAAGGAAATATTATTCGGTCTTGAAAGAAATTCTGACACAGGCTGCAATATAGATATACCTTGAGGACACTGTGCTAAGGGAAATAAGCCAGTCACAAAAAGACAAATACTGTATGATTCCACTAATGTGAAGTAATTAGAATTGTCAAAATCAAAAAGGAAGGCCAGGCACGGTGGCTCACGCCTATAATCCTAGCACTCTGGGAGGCCGAGGTGGGAGAATTGCTTGAGCTCAGGAGTTCAAGACTAGCCTGAGCCAGAGCAAGACCTCGTCTCTACTAAAAATAGAAAACTTAGCCGGGCATGGTGGCGCCTGTAGTCCCAGCTACTCGGGAGGCTGAAGCAGGAGGATCACTTGAGCCCAGGAGTCTGAGGTTGCTGTGAGCTAGGCTGACGCTGTCACACTCTAACCTGGGCCACAGAGCAAGACTCTGTCTCAAAAAAAAAATTTTTTTTTTAGTCTTTTCCCTATCTTCAAATTACCAAAATATCCCAAAGTGCATTTTCAGAGAAGACAGCATAGTTTCCTTGCTTGGTCTGTGTTTTTGACCAAGAAAGAGGAAATCCTGGAAAAGCAGAGAAGCTTCTAGACAAAACAGTCCCACCTAGGTATGAACTCTCGGAATTCTAGGAGCACCTGAACGAATATCCACAGGAGCACAGAGCAAAGGAGCGGTGTGGAGCAGCGTGGGTGGATGCAAGGCAGGAGGCGCCGGAGAGGGGGCTCTGCCTCACGCTTACCATGCCGGAGCCGCCGCAGTAGTGGCAGTGCTGCACCTTGGTGCCGGGCTCGTTCCCCTTGCCGTCACAGCGCTCGCAGGTATCCATGATGTTCACTGTGAACTCCTTGTTGACCCCCTTAGCAGCTTGATTGAATGTCAACTCCATGACGTACTGAAGGAACCAAGGGACGGGCTGTCACCCTTTGTTTTACAATCACCAAAATGGTGCTTCACTTTAAAAGGGACAGAGGGTTCTGCCAACATTTTTAGCTACTCTTTCACTCTGTTATTTACTTATACTCTGCCAAGTAAGAATGAGTGGGACTGACTGAACTGATTCTGCCCTATTCCTTGGGATTATTAAGAGATAATGTATGTCTTAATCCAAATGAAAACATACTTTCAAAAAACTGAAAATGTTTACGGATTAATACTTGTACATGGCACTTACAAACAGCTAGAATGATCCACAATCATAACTGAGACCATAAAATATTTCCACTCTTTCTTCAACTTTGATGATGTCTTACAGAGACATAAATAAGAAAGGAGAGCAGGCATGGTGGCTTATGCCTGCTGGGAGGTCGAGGCAGGATTGCTTGAGCTCAGGAGTTTGAGACCAGCCTGAGCAAGAGTGAGACCCTCATTTCTACAAAAAACAGAAAAATTAGCCGGGCATGGTGGCACATGTGCCTGTAGTCTCAGCTACTTGGGAGGCTGAGGCAAGAGGATCACTTGGGCCTAGGAGTTTGGGCCTAGGTTGTAGTGAGCTACAATGATGCCACTACACTCCAGCAAGGGCAACAGAACACAACTCTGTCTGAAAAAAAAAAAAAAAGAAAGGAAAGGAAAAGGAAAAGGAAAAGGAAAGGAAAAGGAAAAGGAAAGGAAAGGGAAGGAGGGAGGGGGGAAGGGGAAAGGGAAGGAAAGGGAAGGGAAGGGAGGAAGCAGACTGGCAGTGTCTCCTTCCTGGAGCAAGTTCTCCTAGGATAATGTAGCAGGCACTAGATAAAACACTCATACCCTAATTATGGACTCTAAAAGCCTGAGATCTTGCCTGATTAAGCAATTGTTAAGAATACAGTCAAAATGGTTGTACTTATTATTACCTATAGGATTTTTCAAACATTGAAATTATTTTCTACCAAAATGGCTGCCTCCAGATCAGTTCATTTAAGCTACTTTGCTTTCCTGAGAAACAGAAAACTGATAAAAATCTCTCTTTCTGTCACACTTAACAGCCTAAAATTTGAATAATTCTTCAAAATGAGGAACTTACTTCCTGAGGCTGATCAAACACGCTCTGGAAATCTCCAAATGAGGATGATGAGAACTCCCCAAAGATCTTCCTGAATAGCTCCTCGGGGTCAACAGTGGGGCCTCCCCTCCAGTAGCTCTGCCCGGAGCTGCTGGCCCCAGGATCAAAGCCAGCAGAGCCGTAGGCATCATACTGCTTCCGCTTTACTTCATCACTCAAAACCTACAGAAGGCAGAACGATCAGACATTTGGAGGCCCAGGAACAGATAAGAGTTCACACCAAGTGAGAAGTCACAATGTTGCCAAGTGTGCCTGTGTGCAAAAATATTCCATGCGGTTCCCTGGGATAGGATTGCACTGCGACTTTAGCACCTACAAAAGGAGCAAGATGACTGTAATGAACTCTAAGCATAGTGCCGGAAGTACTTTTCATAAGTCTTATGAGGCTGGGCACAGTGGCTCATGCCTGTAATCCCAGCACTTTGGGAGACTGAGGTGGGAGGATTGCTCGAGCCCAGAAGTTCGAGACTAGCCTGGGCAATGCAGTGACATCCCATCTCTGTATAAAATTTAAAAATTAGGCTAGGCGCAGTGGCTCACGCCTGTAATCCTAGTACTCTGGGAGGCCAAAGCAGGAGGATTGCTCATGGTCAGGAGTTCGAGACCAGCCTGAGCAAGAGCGAGACCCCGTCTCTATAAAAATAGAAAGATATTAGCTAGACAACTAAAAATATATAGAAAAAATTAGCCGGGCATGGTGGCACATGCCTGTAGTCCCAGCTATTCGGGAGGCTGAGGCAGGAGGATCGCTTGAGCCCAGGAGTTTGAGGTTACTGTGAGCTAGGCTGATGCCACAGCACTCTAGCCCGGGCAACAGAGTGAGACTGTCTCAAAAAACAAAAACAAAAACCAAACAAGAAATTTAAAAATTAGCCAGGCGCAGTGGTACTCGCCTATGGTCCCCAGCTACTTGGAAGGTTTACTGAGTTGAGGCTGTCGTTACATGTGGCTGTCTATTCCTGTGGATATAGAGCTCCTATATATCCTGAACCCCTTCAGGATGGTCAAAGTCAGGGAAGAAGGTCCACTTTCAGATAACTCTGGAATTGGTCACTAGTTGTTTTATAGATGTACGCTTTGTCCTCTGATTACAATGTAAACTCTTCCAGGGCAATGAAGGGCTTCTACTTTTAAAACAGCCACCATCGGCCGGGCGCGGTGGCTCACCCCTATAATCCTAGCACTCTGGGAGGCCGAGGCGGGCGGATTGCTCGAGGTCAGGAGTTCGAAACAAGCCTGAGCAAGACCCCGTCTCTACTAGAAATAGAAAGAAATCAATTGGACAACTAAAAATATATATACAAAAAATTAGCCAGGCATGGTGGCACATGCCTGTAGTCCCAGGTACTTAGGAGGCTGAGGCAGGAGGATTGCCTGAGCCCAGGAGTTTGAGGTTGCTGTGAGCTAGGCTGATGCCATGGCACTCACTCTAGCCTGGGCAACAAAGTGAGACTCTGTCTCCAAAAAAAAAAAAAAAAAAAAAAAAAACAGCCACCATCCCTATCAGGTAGCAATGCCCCAAAGGGGAGGGGAGTTATTACCAAATAAGGGCTAAATTAACTGATGCAACCCAGAGTTCCCAAGCCTAGCTACAGTCTAAATTACCTGGGGAGCTTTATTGGTACGATCGTGTTCTTCTTGAGAGTCCAAGTCAGTATACCTTGGAATCTCTTTTTTACAAGGTGATTTGGTACAAGGACACAGCGTCACACAGCACATACACCAGGCTGTCCTGTGAGGCAATGCAAACTCTGATTCACGCACACAGCTGAATGATGGCAACTGCACACACCATCGGTCATATTACCTCATAGGCCTCTGCCAGCTGGGAGAACTTCTCCTTGGCTTTGGGATCATCCTTATTCGTGTCAGGGTGATATTTCTTGGCAAGCTAAGGGAAAAAACAGTAAATTACTGTGGACACGGAACCCCAAATATCAGTCACAATTATGCCTCCTTTGTAACAGTTATCTCTCTTAAAACCTAGCAACCAACAGCCATTCATAAAGCAAGATTTAAGACTTTAAAATAAATCATTTTCTCAAATCTGATGTCCGTACACATTTTTCAACCCACAAGTCTTACCAAAAAATAATGACCAAGCCAGGGCATGGTGGCTCACACTGTGATCCTAGCACTTTGGGAGGCTGAAGCAGGAGGAATCGGCTTGAGCCAGGGGTTCCAGACTGGCAGTGAGCTATGCCACTGCATCCAGCCTGGGCAACAGAGAGAGACCATGTCTCTTAAAAAAATAAATAAATGAGGCCGGGCGTGGTGCTCACCCCTGTAATCCTAGAGGTGGGCAGATCCGCTCAAGGTCAGGAGTTGTGAAATCAGCCTGAGCAAGAGTGAGACCCCTCCCCTACTATAAATAGAAAGAAATTAATTGGCCAATTAATATATATAAAAAAATCAGCTGGGCATGGTGGCGCATGCCTGTAGTCCCAGCTACTCAGGAGGCTGAGGCAGCAGGATCGCTTGAGCCCAGGAGTTTGAGGTTGCTGTGAGCTAGGCTGACGCCACAGCACTCACTCTAGCCTGGGCAACAAAGCGAGACTCTGTCTCAATCAATCAATAAAAACTAATCCTTTGGGAATTTGGGCACCTTGTGAAAGCAAGGTGCAAAACAGAGTGTCTGGTATATTAACATTGATGTCAAAAGGGGAGAAAATGGCCGGCGTGGTGGCTCACACCTTGTAATCCTAGCACTCTGGGAGGCCAAGGCGGGTGGATTGCTCGAGGTCAGGAGTTCGAAACCAGCCTGAGCAAGAGCGAGACCCCATTTCTACTATAAACAGAAAGAAATTAATTGGCCGACTAATATAAATAGAAAAAGTTAGCCGGGCATGGTGGCCCATGCCTATAGTCCCAGCTACTCGGGAGGCTGAGGCAGGAGGATTGCTTGAGCCCAGGAGTTTGGGGTTGCTGTGAGCTAGGCTGACGCCACAGCACTCACCTAGCCCAGGCAACGAAGTGAGACTCTGTCTAAAAAAAAAAAGAAAAGAAGAGAAGAGAAGAGAAGAGAAGAGAAGAGAAGAGAAGAGAAAAGAAAAAAGAAAAGAAAGAAAAGAAAGAAGAAAAAGAAGAAAAGAAAAGAAAAGAAAAGAAAAAGATAAGATTAGCTGGGCATGGTGCCACATGCCTGTAGTCCCAGCTACTTGGGAGGCTGAGGCAAGTAGGATTGCTTGAGCCCCAGAGTTTGAGGTTGCTGTGAGCTAGCTAATGCCACGGCACTCAACTCTAGCCTGGGCAGCAAAGCGAGACTCTGTCTCTAAAAAAAAAGGGGGGGGGAGAAAATGACCGGATAGGTAATAGATGTTCTTGCTGTGTAAATTATTTTTGGATTGTGCACATTAAGTTGATAACACTGATTGCTACAGGAGGGATGAGGGTGAATAGGAAGGAGGAAGACTTTTTACTGAATGCTCCTTCATACTTCTGAATTCTGAACAAAGGAATGTATTACCTATTCAAAACATAGCTTTAATATTGAAAAAGCAAATAAATCTCCCTTGGCTGTCCAGAGCACGTGTGTGCTGAGAAGCTCCAAAAACAGCCGGGCTGTGTGTGCCAAGTGCCCTGTAGGTGTCTGCTGTGTTTGTGCCTCCTCCTAACACCTTCCCAGTCTCTGCATCACCAGAATCATGAAGCTGAAAGTGACAGGCAGTAACCTGGCCTGTCCCTGCCATCAGCTGGCTGTCCACCTCAGCTGCAGTTAGGCCCACAGTCAGACCACCCTGATCCACCATTTGTTAACTGTGAGACTTGGGCATGGAATCCCACACCCTTTGTAAGCCAGTTCCGCATCTGTAAGATGGCAATAATAACAACACTACTTCACAGTGCTGTGGTGAGGATAAAATGAAGTAACACAGATGAAAACAAAAAGCTCGCACAAGCAAAGGAACATATTAACATTCAGCATCACCTATTACTGGAACTTTAATAGGGCGCATAAGAACACACTGGGGGTGGGGGTGAGGGGGGAGGGCACCTAACTGGTTCTAACAGGAATTAAAATTTCAATGATAAGCACAAATTACTGACATCAGTATACCCAGGTTGCCAGGATGGCCACTTTAAAAATACAGCACTGCAGGCAACTTCAAGAGCTTGCACATAAGCCACTGTGCCCACGGCTTATGTGAAAAGCATAAAGAGAGACATCACACATAAAATAATAACATTTGTGCCCTAGCAAAGACAAAATGATGTCATGGCTCATGGTACAAACTAAGGCGCAAAGGAATCGAAATTCAGAAAAGTACTAGGTGACTTGAGACACAAAGGGCTGCATGGATGGCACCAACTCAAAAAGTCCTAAGTTGGAGACACAGGTACAGTCACTATGACATGAGGAACAACTGATTTTAGAAAAAACAACATTATCTAGTACATGAAATTGTGTTTAAAGGGGGATCAGTATATTACTCAAGTTGAGAAACCATTCAGTGGATTACTTCCAGTGATGGGAGCTCACGACCACCCAAGATGGAGGGTGCCCGAACCATCAGCTTTCCTTGTTAGGAAGCTCTTTGCCAGAGTGAGCTGAAATGCCTCCACTTCTGGTGTTACAGGTATCTTTCATGCCTCTTCTATAAAGCAGCCTAGCAAATAACTGAGACTAGATACCATGTCCTATAAAAGTCTTTCTCTTTATGCTAACAGTCAAGACTAACCTGCTAATTCTCCAATCTTCCCAATAGCAAAAGAAAGCAATATAAAGTCACTAAACCTGCAATAAAACAAAACAAAACCACACACTTGGTCATGTACCACCCAAACTCTGGTATCCAGGAGGAATGAGGATGCTGACAGAAGCTACCAGAAACACTCTGTCTCTATAGAAAATTTAAACATAGTCCAGATGTGGTGGCATGTGCTGTAGTCCTAGCAACTTAGGAGGCTGAGGCAGGAGGATTGTTCGAGCCAGGAGTTGAGGCTGGAGTGAGCTATTGAGCTATGATCATACTACTGCACTCCAGCCTGGGTGACAGAGCAAGACCTGCTCCAAAAAAGAATCTAAAATGGTGCAGCTGCTTTGAAAAAAGGCTGGCAGTTCCAAAAGGTAAAAATATCCAGTTACCACATGACCCAGCAACTACACTCCTAAGTGAAATGAAAATATCTTATATCTACACAAAAACTTATACATGAATGTT